ATAGGGAAGTATCCCTGCGGTTCTAGTCGCTGTGACAGAACATCAAGAATACTGGCCATAGCCCGTTCAGCTTCTTCCGCACGCTGCAACATCCTTTCCAAAGCCCACCTGGCTTCAGGCCCGACACCCAAGTAGTCTTGCCGATGCTGCAGTTCATCCAGAAATTCTTCCAGGCACTGGATGACATCCCTCGGGACACCGTTCTCGCCAAGTCTTGCCCTCTCCGAGTTTCGGAGTTGCATGAAGTGAACCTCGTCCTCGTCGAAGTCCACCAAGACGTTCGTAGAAGTTGGCCACGTAGAAGACGTTGTAGAAGAAGCACCCATAAAGCAAAGCCATGTAGATGTGCATGTCCAAGACGTCCATCCCTCATTTTCCTCCCACCACCCATTGTTCCAAGACCCTGTAGAAGGACCAGAGTCCACCGAGGGGTGCGAGCTCCATGTTGCCGTTGGTGCCGTTTCGGTCGCGTTGTATGTCGTCCCATTCCATGTAGTGGACCACGACGATTGTTCCCACCATCGTGTGCAGTTCTCGTTGCCGTGCCAGGACGACCAATTAACCCAGCCATGCCTTTCCCATTCACAGGTAGTCGAGGACGTGGAAGCCTCTGCATTGTCCATCTCCACCGCCCCAGCCTCAAGGTTGTTGTTGGTGTTGTCGGGCCAGGGCACTTGAGACACGGCGGCATTGCTCGCTGCATCCGCTGTTGCTTCCGCCACCGTTGCATCCTCGCCCTCCGCTGGGTTGACCGAGCCTTCATTCCTCGCAGCTTTCTCACGACGATATTGTTCAAGCCATGCAGGTCTCCATTCTCCACGAAGGTAGCGACTCATTCGTTCCTGCTTTCGTAATGTACGTCGTGGGCCATTGCCTCCTCGGTGCAGACGTTCTTCAGAAGGAGTGCGAACTCGGGCATGGAAGGTTCCATGTCGCCAGAACCCAACCGTCAGATCAGGCGCTTCCGTGGAAGAGGAGGCAGGGTCCGAATCCTCAGTAGACTGATTGGTGGTGCTCTGGCCCTCGCCTGCTGTGGTGGACTCATCGTCAACTCCTGGGCGTCCTGCTCTGACACGGAATTTGTCACCATAGAATGTGGTAGCTTCCACAACTGTTTCGCCTTCATGCATACTGGCGCCCTCTATGGTAAAGGCGACTTCATTGTCTTCGGGAATAGTGGAAGTGGAGTGTCCCAGACCAGAGCTGCTGTGTTCTCCACCTTCAAGTACTTTCCCACGGAAGCGATTACGAAGGGTTCCATCTGGATTGTGCCAACGATCCCTCACATTGCCGAGGCGTAGTCGTTCTCCCCTTGTCTGTCCAGGCAACGAGGGCATGTGGGTGTAAGAGTTCAGCGGCAGGGAGGAGTCGGCCGGCCCGGAGGAGGAAGACGAAGAGATTGTTGGTGTAGCCAATGACGAGGTTGGACACGAACTGCTCGAAGGTGGCGTAGACGCATGCAATCCTGTAGAGGGACAGGATGAAGAAGTACACCCGCTCCCATTTGTCACCATAACACCAGGGGTCACCATAGGCGTCGACGAAGTCTTCCCTGAGGTCAAAGCCGAGGTCGAAGTAGTAGCATCTCCACTGTCCAGGCCAAATACATCGGCGTCTGTCACCCCATGAACTTGACCAAGTGAAGCGGGGAGCAAGGAGGCAGAGGAAGAGGAAGACCAGGGCGGCAAAACCGAGGGTCGTCCACGTAGAGCTCTGCGATCAAGGACCATAGGCAGCCAATCCACAGCCTGCACCATCCGGGGTTCATCCGGTTCCAACCCCTCACAACGAGGACGCTCAGAAGCCGTAGAGGACAAAGCGCCAATGTCGAACGGCAGGGGCACGTGGTCAGGCGGAGGAGGTTCACTGAGTGAGGAGGATGCCGTCGTGGGTGCATCGACAGTAGGCAACGGAGCGGGTTCCCAGTCGAATTCCTCCGTTTGGGCTGCGATCCACACATCCTCATCCCAACGCGCCGCCATGTAGACAGCGACCTGTGACGTGGACCACGGCGCTTGCGTACCAGCGTGCGCGGGTATGTCAGTCGGGTCTGTGGTGTCATTCCAAGCACTCGTCCCAGGTTGTAGCGAAGAGCACGTGGAAGTCCAGGCAGGATTCACCCCCGTCTCCGGCAAACCAGACGTCCAGGGGGGCATGGAAGACGAGGAAGAGGGCGCATCACGTCCCGGCGGAGGCACGTTGGTGTCCCGCGCTGCCAGCGCCAAGGGCCAGCAAACATGTAGAAGACGAAGAAATCCCGCGGTCCGAAGGAGCGCGGCCATGAAGAGCGTCGCGAGCAGGGCGAGGGGGGCGTTTTCCACGTCGTCCTAACTCGAGCCTGAGAGTGACGGGAAGAACAGGCTCATGTCAGGCGGCAGGCTGGGAATATCAGAGATGTGTACATCAATGCCATCACTGTTCTGGTCCGTGCCCATGTAGACAGCACATCGATAAAGTGAATGTTCAAAGCGATCATGGGCGTGTGCAGGCCACTGCAAAATGGAAGACAGGCTGCAAGCACTTGATCAAGTACGATGGAAAACACAAGGAAATATAGTCATCTTGGTAGTGCAGGTGAGTAATCAACATTGACAAATAGAGTGGATCACACCGAGGGACAGAGAAGCTCCAACAGGACAGGACACAGTCACCCTCACTCGCAGTCAGAAGTATCAGAAACCGCCACGAAACTTCATCCCCTCCAACCACGAAAGGAGAGTGTACTCAATCACGTAGAGCGAGTTGGCGCCCCGAGCTCCATTTCACATCCCAAGTGCGAACATAGTGCGTTCTGGCTTGTGCCCAGGCTTCTCGATCTTGTGCTAAGACTGGCCAGTGATTGCCCAAAGCTTCACTGAGCTGGCGTTCAGTGTTACTTGCAAAGAAGTGACCAGGATGGCGAAGTCCAGAGACTTTGAGAGCTTGTTGTTCACGCCACCATGCAGTGCACCTCCACACAACAGCCCGCATCGGCAGACAAGGTGAGGCAAATCCAGTGCTTGGCTGTATTTCCGAACGGCGACTCCAATGCCCATGAAGGTTGAATTGGAGCTCAATTTAAGTATGCGATCAGACCATCTAAGCCAACCACCATTGTGAAGCCACACCCTGACGAAGCGCATGCTGCGAGTATTCCAGTCCAGCCATGACTCTCCAGAGAGGCGTCTGAGTTGGAAGGCCGAGCGAAGAATGTGCAGTTGCAGAGTGTTAGCCGCCTGTAGTTCTTCGTTGCCCCAATGGAGAGCGCCAGCGCACCAAGTAAATCGCGATTCCACAAGGCATCGAAGCATCTTCATCTTGTTCGTCCACGAGCCTTTGGCCCCCAAGATGTCCCTGTGCATTCCAGCCGCTGCGCGCGTGCGTGCAAGAAGTTCAAGAGCCTGTTGGTTGGGTTTTTCAAACAAAGAGAAGTTCACCCCCAGGACCTTGATGGATTCCGAGGACGGTGCAATGCAGAATTCATCCGAACCAAGACGAACCCGACGAGCCCCAGAGAAAGCAGGGCTGGCGATGATTTTGGTCTTCTTAGCCGCAAGTAGGAGTCCTGCTCGTTCAAGTCCACGTCCGACAGCTCGTATCCGCCGCGCGAGTGAGCCAAGTTGCTTGTCAATCACAAAGATGTCGTCCTGGTAAAACAGCAGTTCGGCAGCCAAGCCTGGGCAGGGTTCTCCAAGCTCACCCCATTGTCGTGAGGCAACCAGGTCTGAGAGGATGGCGTCAACCATGAGGCCAAAAATCTCGGCACTTTCTGGAGCTCCTTGTTTGATGCCATTGTTGGGCCGGATTTTGATGCATTTGCTCCCCGGAACACGCCCCTCCAGCACATGTACGCGCAGTTGGCATAAGAGATAACGAAGTTCATGATCAACCGACTTCCCCCCAGCACGAAGAACGAGAAGCTCAGCGACTTTACTGCGGTCGACTTTGTCAAAAGCACCAGCCACATCCAGCTTTGCAATCACAAGAGGCATCTTCCACTCTCTGGTGACATCTCTGATGCGAGATATCGCCCCAATAAGGTCCGCAGCTTGTCGACCTTTGCCGCAACAAGAAACGTAGGAGCCCCGACGTAGGTGCGGCATGATCCGACTGCAAACGAGGCGGTTGACCAGCTTGTTGAACGCGCTGCTGACGCAGATCGGCCGAAGGTCATTGGCCGCACGCGGACAGTCACACTTAGCAAGCAGGGCAAGGTAACTCTGTGACCAAGCTTCGGGAAGCTGTTGGGTGCAGACAATGTGGTTGATCAGCGAAAGAAGCTGGGGCCCAAGAGAATCATGACTTGCCAGCGTCCGGAGAAGATCAACACTGATGCCATCAGGCCCGACGGCACTGCGAGGGCGCATCCCAGCCAGTTCAGCACGAACGTCAAGCAAGGAGAACTCAACGAACTCACCCCGGATGTCAACCGCATCAACCATTTCCTGAAGACGTTCATCCCAGTCCACGATGGCTTCATCAGTCATTTTCGACGCAAGATGTTCGCGGACCTCGTGAGTGAGTTGCGAAGATGAGCGGTTGGCGAGCAACTCTCCCCACCATCCAGTTTTGCGATTTTTCTCTCCCTGAAGTTGACGGAAATCATGCCATGAACCTTCGAGGATGCGGCTCAGACGGGCTTCTCTCCATTTCAGACGGGAGGCTTTGCGAAGACGGTGAACTCGCTTCCAGTCGGCTCTATGTTTGGAAAGTCTGGCGGCGCCAATAGCATCCTTCGTTTCCTGGTCATCACGGAAAGCTTGAGATACTCGAGGCTTGGTGTACAACTTGCCAAGTGCAGAAACATCATCAGCGTCAACGATGACACCATCAGGAATCTCTCCCCTGACCCATCTAGCACGGGAATCGTTGTTCCAGAATCTGGCACGTCCCCGACCCTGAGCGAGAACATCTGCATAAACAATGGCATGGTCGGTCCCAATCGTGTGTCGTCTGTCTGGATCAATGGTCGCCGTCTGAACATGTAGATGCCGGGACAGAAGGAGGTCAATTTGGCGCCCTTGTCTCTCTTCATCCCTGGGGAAGTGTGTCGGGCACAATCTCTGCTGGTAGGAAGGAGACAGGCATTGTATCCCCTGTAGTGTCGCCTCATGCAGAAAGCAACGTAGGTTGGAGGAGCCCTGCGTGATCTGCAGGTTCGGATTTTCCTCACCATCAAGATGCCAGCAGATCTCCTCGTTCAGATCGGTCCCACAAAGCAAAGGGTACTGGTGCCATTTTGCTGGTAGAGCACGCCAAAATTCCAAGACCGCCGCCTGATATACCGCATTCGTAGTGCCTGTATGAGCATGAAGAGACCCAACAACGACCCGACCGAGACCCCGAAGACGTGCAAGAATCCAGATGCCTCGCTTGCAAGCGACTTTGTGTACAATGCAGTCCAGCTTGTCACCTGCAATGCCGATGGCGACACCCCTGTATTGGTCACCAGCTCTGTGAGACACCCACTCAAAATGGTCAGTATGAAGTTCACCCCAGCCTTCGGCTCCTCTAGCAACTTCTTGCACACAAAGAACATCAACATCAGCAGCGGCCAAGTCCAGGAGGTCAAGTTTCTGTCCTCCAAGATTCCACGTCGCCCCACGTCCCCACCTATGCAGATTACACTGGCGAGAAGAAGAGCGAGGTTCAAAACGTCCCTTAGGGCGCGAAGAAGAGGGATCCTTGCCGCAACCATCCCCACCGTCCTCAACAAAGAATGAATTCTCAGCCCATGCTTTCTCCGGAGTGAAACAGATCTCCTCCTTGGCGAGTCACAGCTCCCTCTCAAGCGCAGCGCGGGCATTGTCCAAGGAACAACCCGTAACCGCGGCAAGAGCATCAAGAGAGACCCAGCCAGCGTAGCGCTGGCCAACTTATGCACTCCACACCAGATGGTGCCGAGAGCCCAATCACAATCATAGGCCGTTTGGAGAGTGTTCTCGATCCTCGCAATTCCTCCATTGTCATCTTTCGTGTCCTGTGCGAGGAGGCATGCAACCCGACGAACAAGGCTCACATGCGAGCTTTTGGCCCTTGCGGCTTTGGTCTTCACGAAACTCGCCCACATAGGTTTCCCCTCTTCACCCCCAGTGCGGGTGCTAGGAAGCAAATGCTTGAGAGAAGCGATGGCCTTGACCGTGTCCCACATCCTGTTGCGCAGCTGCTGGAAATTCTCCCCTGCCCGAAGTTCAAAGCGAAGCATGCCAACCGATCTGCGAGGTCCATAGATTTGAAGTCGTCCCGAATCGATGAGCGTCTTGATGCTTTCCAAGCCAAGCACTGTCGCAGACTCCTCCTCGATGACCGCTCGTTTGGTGTCACGAAGCCACCCCCCAATAACCAGCGTCCTTTTTTCCTCATCCGTGAGTTCACTTCCTCGATCAGGGGCTTGTAGAGTCTCCCCGGGAGCCATCACACCTTTGCCATCATCATTCGACCCTCCCGCAGCCCGACGCTGACGGAGATAGTCACCCCAAGGATCACCACCAGCAGGCAGAGGAGGACCAGGAGCGGCTGGATGTTTGTGGGAAGCAGCAGGGGCTTGGAGGGAATCCAACTGCACTTTCATGCTTTTGACCTCCTCCGTCAGCTCGTCCAGGTTCTTCGAGGTCTGTTCTTGTAGGTGGCGATGTGTGGCGGCGTCCTTTTCCAGAACAGCGGTACGTGTTTTCAGCAGACCAAGGTCCACGGACTGAGCTCCTTGCTTGGACTCAACTTGTTCAAGTCGACCATGGAAGGTGTTCCACGCATCTTTCATCTCATTCACGTGACCAAGAAGAAGGGCACGCAGTTCATTACCAGAAAGCGGAGCATCTCCATGTTGTGGGCGCTTGGAGGGGCTGTCCAACTCTTCGTCATCATTAGGAACTGCAACTTGAGCAGCCGCCCTTTCCCTGCCTCGTTTGCGATGCTGTTCTTGTTTGACACCTTCTCCATCCTCTTTGTCACCGTCAGAGATCTCAGCCGCCTCAGTCGGGGAGTCCACAGGATCAATCTGCATTTCGACTTGCGCATCTTCTCCTCCTTCACGTTGTTCCATGTCCCCCCAAAGCAAGGACAGTGAAGAGCAGGAAGAGAAAGAACAGGAGGAGGTAGTGCAAGGCACGCCAGCGAAGTCACCCCCAACGTCAAAGACCGAAAACCAGAGCCGATTTTCCAACAAGGCGCGGAGGTAGAAGGTGCCAAAGAAAGACCACGTGAAATTCTTCCCGATGTCCACGGTGGAAAGGCCTGAGCAGACACCAGCCGACAGGCAAGGACCACAGCGGCGCAATGACCAAGAATAAGAGGATGTCGTTCAGAGGCCGCACACAACACCCCAGTAAAGTCGAGGTACGCCAGGTAGAAGAACTGGCCGCCAAGAGAACCAGGTCACCCGCAGACAGAGACACAAAGAGGTAGAAGAGGACGAGGTACTGGTCGCAATGGCAATCTCAACCGCAAGGGAGGATGCACCCCGGGAAAAGTTCGCTCGGGCCAACAGCTTGAGCCAAAGCCAGGGGTGGTGTTGTGTTGGCTGGGGAGACTTCGCTGGAGCCTGCCTCACTTCTTCGTCTACGACAACTACGTCCTCGGTGGTGACGGGTGAACATGTGGTTAGGGACGCCATTAACCTTGAGCTCCAGCATGCGGGATCGGCCGATGTTGCGGACGTCATGCGCAGGCTCATGGACAGACAACGAAGGCTCCAACATTGTCTTCGTTTAGTTGGTGTTGCGTTGGAGGAGTGCTTGTGCTGGGTCTCGCGGGGTCGATATGCTCGCCCCTTCAATGCAGCCACGATGGACGCTCGCCTCTGGGATGTGATTGGTCGGGAAGCTGGTCAGGGCTCTGCGACTACGTCAACTGGAAGCACGGGGCTTACATCTCCACAGGCGGTCCTGCTGCAGCCTCACGTTCCAGCCACTTTGACCGCCCTTCTTCACGCCTTCCCGGGAGTTGAAGAGCATGTGGTGGCAGGCTATAGGCGGCGTGGATGGCGAGCACATACTGAGCGTCTCTACCTGGAGAGCGGGAGGAGATGCCCCAGAGGCATGTGGCCTGCAGAAGACGACAGGGTCCTCTACTATATCCAAGCGGATGAGGAAACCTGTGTTGGTAATCTTCCTCCTCATGTTCCTCTACCAGAAGACCCTCTACTTCATCGACAAGTACGTGGTGTGGCAGCGAGACGTCGACTACATCGTGCGCGCCCAGTGCCCTCGTATCACTCGGTCCCTGCAAGGCATGTTGGGGTTGGTGACTTCAGGGCTGAGGCTGATGAGGAAGAGGATAATGGCAGTGGAGTAGGCCCTGTGATTGCTCTTCTTGAAAGCACCTCCTCCCGGCCATCCTCGTCTACTGAGATGATTGCCCCGTCGACTACCGCTGCTGCCGGCCTCCCTTCTCATGCCCCTCTTCGTGAACGAAGTCGTAGCCGTAGTCGAGAAGCTGGTGATGCCCGGGAAGAAGTTGATGTCTGTGAGCATGATGCACCTGGTGAGGATGGTGAAGACGAATCTGCTGAAGACGAGAACTCCTCCGACACCTCGTGAGGCTGTTTGTACTTGGTCCCTGTGCTGTGTGTTCTGATGGCCTATGGCTGTGCCTGACCGGGTGTCTGTAGTCCCTACCTGTACATCCGTGCTTTGCCGCCTGTATCATGTGGGCCTGAGATGTCTCTTGGCCTAGGCACGTGTTGCTACTTGCTGACGTTGCCGTCAGTGGTGTGTAGGGCTCACTCTGTGACATCTGTTAGGCTGCTGAAGCGCCGACGGTGTCGTGATTTCAGTGTATGCTCCA